CAAGTGCCTCCTTCTCAGCACAGCTGTTGCTTAATAACTGGAAGAGCACATTTCTTTACCATAGTACTGTCTGCTGTGGTATGTCTCTGTAAAAGAGGAACCCTGAGAAATGTGCATGTGAAAAAACCACGGGTTCTTGTTCTCCACTGCATCACAGATTTGTATCAACTGGTGAATTATACTTCCCTCTTGCTTTCAAGCTGTATCTCAAGGGGTGCCTAGTAATTAGACATATTAGATATTAGATATTAGACATATTAGACAGAAGTAAACTTCTGATCCAAACTTCCTATGAGACTTTTCGAAAGGACAGGATTGTTATAATCGCCTTTAACTGGAAAAATGTTTTTATTGACTGCCAACACCTACAAATGTGGAGATCCAATCAGTGTTCTTCCATTCCTGTGAATAATCTGTCTAAACGAGTCATTCTGATGCAATGACCACAGGCTCATCTGTTCAAATTAGGGTCCTGTGTCATTTATCGATACTCATATCAAAATAACATTTAATATGTAAGTTTAATATGTGTTCAAAATGCATAGCTGATGTGAAATGAAAATCGTTGTCAGAAAGGACATTGTTTTTTGTGTTCTCTAAGGAACAGTTCTGACATGCTGTGTACAGTACTGCAATTAGCAACAGATGCTTTTAGCAAAGTGTGATGTTTCCTTCCCCCTCTGTTCTTTCTTCTGAGGGAAAGGCTAACATCCTGGCTATCCATGTGGCATTAATGGCCTTACTTTTAATTTTCAGAGTCAGTTTACCAATGTTGGTACAAACACCAGAATATGCAGATGGAAGGTCATTTTCCATTGGAGCAATACCTTTAATATCATGGCATAATACCTATAGCTATATCTCTAGTAGCATAATACTCTATAGCATAATACCTATAGCTACTGTATATCTCTAGGAATTGATTAAGTGCTGTTGAAAATATAGTATCATTGACAGCTGTCAGGGTCCCCAGGAAATGCTTGTCAATGTTTTCAGGAAATGCTTGTCAATGTTTTGCTGTCATTGTCTTTTAATGTGTTCTCACCGCCATCCTGTAACAGGGCTCCTCAAATTTAATTCTCAAGATTTACTTTTTTTGTTCTGGCAAATTTGTTCTTGCAAATAACCTGACCTTGTAAAGGCCCTAACCGCACAAGAGTGATGAAGACGAAAAACAATGCATACCTTTCCCTTAAAGCTCTCTGCCAGAATCTGTCAGCAAAATAAAACACTTTTGAAAGAGTCATCCATTCATCCATGGGTTAATAATATCACCCATTATTAACATTCAGAGGACTCTCTGCCTTTTCACACTATCACAATATGTCGTGCATGTCTGAGTTTCAAAGAGGGATCAAAGCAATATGTTGGCAAGGTTTGTGAGGGCTCTGTCAGAATGGGTGGGTCCTGGGGTGATAGCAGAGAAGACTTAAATAACTGTGGACATAGTTAGCTGACTGAATTGTCAGCACTGTCTTTTCCTGTTGGTGCTTCCCACTTGTACACAGTCAGTGTGACATTTCCTCCTGTATTTTCAGCTGCCGTGTAGAAAGACTTGCTGAAGAGGCAGAAATAGCTTGTGCAAAGTGAGCAAGTGTATTCTGTCAGAGTGTGTGTTCTGTGTGGTTATTTCTTGTAGTTCATGTATCAAGGTAACGAAAGTAAAAAAAGGTTTGAGAGGGAGAGGTGTGGATAGTGTGTCTGATGCCTACATTCTTCCTCTTTGTGTTTTCTCTTCTTAGCTCTTGAGACAACTGACCACAGTAACTTGCTTCCCAGCTCACTCTCTTGTGCAACACAGAGTGTGCCGAGAGTCTCTGGGCTCATGGTTGCTCAGAGGACATGGGCCAAGAGTCTGTGGGCTCATCGTCGTTCAACGGACGTGGTCCAAGAGTCTGTGGGCTCATCATCGCACAGAGGACATGGTCCAAGAGTCTGTGGGCCCATCATCGCTCAGAGGCCACGTGCTGAGAGTTTATGGGCTAAGTGAGAGGAAGAAGAGTCTTGCTAAGGTCGATGGTGGGGCTTCTGTGAGTGTTAACCTATAGTGTGTATCGATGTGCTGTCAGTTGCCCACTGTTTCCTCCTGCGTGTGGAAGAATGTGCTTTACAAGCTCTACATCCTGGGGGTGTCTGCTTCAGGGTCTGAGACTCTGAGACTGTGTGCACTGTGTGCTGCGGTCAGCTGCAGATAAGATCTCAACACCTCTGACGTGTTATCAAGTCTGCTATCACACATGGTCTCCCAGCCTCGAGTAGGTTTGGGAGGTTCTGTGCAAGTGTGTGCATATGGGAGGTTGTGGTAGTGGAACTTCAGACTTAACCTAATGATTCTTCCACTTTATTTTGTGGGCAATGTATTTTCATGATGGCTACAAATCTGTAATAACCCCAAAGATAAGATCCGGGTTTGTAATCAAGTTGGTTGAATTCTTTAGAAATCTAAATATTTTAGACCCTAGACTGTCCTGTGTCTGGACTGGTCCTGATCAGTGGACCCCATAACAGTGACCTGAGACTATGCTAAGAGTTTATTGGAAGTCCATCTAATTGACACTCGCAGACAGGAAGGCTGGCTTGTGACATCAAGGTTACTGTTAGTGGTGGTAAAATCAGGAGTCTCAGTCTGACCTTTGCCTTAGTTTTTAACCAGTCGTAGGGCATTTGGCGTTCTTACAGTCTGACTCTCAGATTCTGAAACCCATTTCAATTAAGGGAATGCTTTGGGATCATGTCTGTGCTATTTTATTTTTGCAAGACTTTAACAAGTCTCATAGTGACAATGCGATGAGACAGTTTGATGCTTTTTTATGCTTTACTGCTTTGTTTGTTGAAAAACCATCATCTTTATAATCTGGAGGGTTTTTCATAGCAAATCAAAGCTTGCAGTAAAGCTTGCTTCGTCTTGCAGTTCTTACTACAGGACGGTCTGTATTTACCCTGTGCAAGTAGCACAGATTGGTGTGATTGGTGTAGGTGGGTACAAGAAGGGGAAACAGAGGCTGTTAGATTTGGAGCAGTGACGAGATTTGTAGTCCCTTGCTCCAGCAAATACCAAACATTTAGTGCATCTTCATTGTTTTCACCAAGGAGAAAAACCCTTCACTGACCATAACAGCGTTTGCCTGTGCTTGTCCTGTTTGTGGAAGTCCAGTAATATGGTTGGCTTGTCTTGGTCATGTTCATCAGTGGTTTCTGGCTCTGCCAATAGCAGAGATGTTTTTCCATTGAAGAGGCTGATGAGGGTTCGCTGTAGCAGTGAAGCCGGATGTGTCTGACCACAGTGGCACTGATAGACTCTGAACAGGTGTGAATACCAAAGTGAGCGCAAGACAAACCAGAGCGCTGTTCTAAAACGACAGGGAGGCGGGGGGCCTGTGTGGTTCAATGAGAGACACTTTTCCCCTAAGGTTTCTTGCTGCTTTGGCTTAGAGATCAGCTTGTCGATGTGGTTCTGTGCTGATGTGAGCACACAGTGAACCCCACTTCTGCTGCAGGGCTCACAGCAGGGCTGTCAGCTGGCTGGGGGTGACACTATGTGGTTTCATTGCCTCGCTTTTCTGTTCTAAAATTGTGCCTTAATATGGTAGCTCGGGTTTGCCTGTATCTGCAAAACATCAAAGATTAAATATAAATTACAGAGACATAGAGATGACACTACAGTTATACTGTTTCTGTTACAGATTCACTGTTGGATTAATTAAAAGGGACCTGACACTTTATTTCCACTGTAAAATATCTCCTGTCTCTGATTTTCTTTAAATGCTGATAAAATGGCCAAATTACAATCAGAATTTCTGGTGTATTTTATTTTCTAAGTTAGAAAAGAGAAAATGATCTAGAGTAGACCTTGAGCTACAAAACACCTGTTTATTACACTGACTTTTTTTAGAGAAATACTTTATGCTCAGATGTGTGTTGCAATTCATGCAGAAGGAAAAAATGTAAGAGGAAAGGTAAAATTGTAGGTGTTTTAGTACAAATTAGGTTTTCAATACAGAAAAACAGAATCAGTGATGACAAGTATAAAATATTAAGAGGCTTAGAAGAAAGACTGGGGAACAGGGAGGAATCAAACATTTCTTATGAAGAGAGTGTGTCTTGACCAGGCTTTTGTACAAGCCTGAGCAGTTTTTTCAAACAACTACCTGCAGTTTAAGGGTCTCACAGTTTTCTTCCAACTTCACAGAAGAGTTGTTTTGGTTATTCTAAGGTTATGGTTGAACCTTGATTTATAATGAATGACAGCCTGGGAAGTTAAGATGTCACTTGTCTAAAAGAATGTAATTCAGAGATTCTAATTTTGACATCGTAGCAAACAGACAATTTTTCTGATGTGAGTGTTGTAGTAGAGATGACAGTTGAGGGCTTAATTTTTGTTGAGCAGATACAATTGCTGTGCTTAAGAACAACATAATACCTTATGGTCCCCCTTTTTAAGAACAGATTGCACAGCCTACTGGTCAGGCAGGAAGCATAAGGGCAACACAGCTTGTTCTATATTCATATTTATATTGTCACAAGTTAAAAAATTGCTTAATTCTATTACTGTTATTTCAGACTAATTTTTAAAATGAAGTAGTTCAGGTGGGTAGCTGCGTCAGCATGCGTAGGCAGCAAAGGAACAAGTAATAGGTTTATTCCATGCTGAAAACAGAAGGAAAAAAACACAACGTTTCGGCCATGAAGCCTTCTTCAGGTGCCTCACAATAGAATGGAATAAACCTATTACTTGTAATTTTTAAAATTGCGCTTACATGAAGCTTACAAAGCAAACCACTTTCTGTGCACTCACACCAATTTAATTCCACCCACTCGGCACCCTTAAATATTGATCTGCTGTACTTTCTAATTGTGCTTTGTTGCATCATTGAGGAAACAGGATCACAAGACAATAGCAGCATTAAGTTATTAGTATACAGTATGTTTCTATACGTGAAAAGTAAAACTTTTGGGTAGAAATATTTTGAAAAAAGGGATGAAAATAACTGCTATTGCACATTATAATTAATTTTATTAAGATTATTATTTTTGGGAGGTATTTACACATTTTACTATGTCTTCTTTAGGAATGTCAATGAAGTGTAGTCTCTTATTTGGAAAAAATATTTTTAAAACATGATCCCAGTTGATTATACTGTGCTCCCTCCCTGGGATTAGCTCTGGCCTCAGGTAAACTGCACTTCAGCATAGGTGGTGTGTATCTCTTTCTTCTTTATCCTCTTCTGGGTCGCAGCCATTTGTACCTCAGCATACGCTAAATCTTGTTGCTAAAACCAAAAACAAGCTCAATCATTTTCTGAATGCCATACAATCGATTAACAATGGTTTCTTGCAGGATGATGAAAACCTATGGGGCACATCTTTGTTAGTCCAAGATACTGTGGGTCATGTGAAATTCAATAGGCTGGATCTCTCTGGGAAGAAGCTGTTAAATAATAATTTTTAAATAATTACTGTAACAGTTAAATCATTTCTTTGTTCATGTGGGCTTTACAAATAAACATTTTTTTTCTGAGAACACATACAGTAAATGTACAGTAATTATCTCGTATTACCTCTGCAATTGAGGAATAATTCTCTGTATAGGTGAAATATATTCCAATTTGTATGAAGAAAGCAAAACTGGCTTCTACTTACCTGAGTTGTCGCTTGGGGTTTCTCTGATTTCTTGGCACAGAAACAATTCAATGTTCGGGATCGCCTTACTAAAACTGAAATAGAAATATATAATGCAATCTTACAGTAGAACTGGCAAATATGCAGTATAATGTCATCTTACAGTAGAACTGGCAACTGCAGTAACCCATATAAAGTTGACAACACTAAAACCAGGGATTACAGCACCAAATAATAATTTGTAAACAAGCTGCCAGCTTCTGGAACGTAACATCTCAAATTCAAGGAATCCCAACTAACAGTTTTTCTAACAATATTCCATAACCCAACAGTTTTTGTTTACACCCTCAGATGATCCAACATGCCTTTATTTTCTTGAGGTTTTCAGAATTATTCACTCAGCACTTGTATGCACTTGTATTGTCAAGTACAAATATATGACAAACCATTAACTGTTGTTACTTAGGAGAATTAGTATAATTACATATTACCCAGCAATGTACATCACATTTTACCACTACTACTAATCTTCATCATCTGTATCTTCCAGTGAGATAAATGGTATGTATCCTGTTCTAAAATCAGGGTCCCTGTTTAATTCAAGATTTAGTATTTATCAAAAAGAACAGCATAATGGTTAGCATTGTTGCCTTTCAGCGATGAGGCCCTCGGTTCAATTTCTGAGGCACCGTCTGCTTGGAGTTTGTATGTTCACCCCATGTTCATGAGAGTTTTCTCAATGTGCCCCCATTTTCTACCACAGTCTAAAAACATAGGTTAGTTGGCTTGTGGTGTGAATGTGTATGTTTATGTTTGTGCCCTGTGATAGTCTGGTGTCCCGTTGAGAGTGTATCTTATCCTGTGCCCTTTGCTTTTCTGGGTAGGCTCTAGCTCCCGTACAACCCTGAATTGGAAGAAGTGGTCAGAAAATAGATGGATGGGTCAAATTATATGTTGGCTATAACAAGGATATGTATGATCTTTGTGATCTGAAATGTAACCAGATGGATTTAAAGTCTGATCCAGACTGTGGGGGAGTCAGATACATTGACATTCCCACCTGTGTCTGTTCAGCTTAGTAAGAAAAAATGTAAACAATTCTTTATGATCAAGTTGAGTTGAGATAAAAGTTTGTAGGATGCAGTTATTGGAAATAATGTACTTTCCAATGCTACTGTAGGTCCCCCAGAATAACCATTGAGAACCACTGAATCACATCAAATTTTAGATGAGTATGTCTGCTCAGTTGAGCAGTGCTCCTTAATGACCTTGCAGAGAAAAAAAAATGAAACATTTAATAAAGTATCTTTTACTGAAAATGTTCAAGTTTAATGTTCCTTTTGTTGATAACGTTTTGCAGCCACTAATACAATAAAGTGTCTGGCTTTCTAACATTTTTTCTTAATAATATTCAGTTATCTGATGGCATTAATAATTACATTTCAAACTAATGCAAAATATTTCTTCCAAACAAAATCAGAACATTGCACAGCTTAGTCTCATCAAGAACAATGGGCATCTTAACACCATTATGGTTTTACTGCACACAGTCATTGAGTATCCATGGTACCATAGGTTTCATAATGGTGTAAAATTTAATTCACACATTAATTTATTTCAGTTTAAAGGCAATTTTAATGCCTCTGAATATGGAGTCACACAGTCATCTAATTTAAACTCTTTTCAAATTTGTGATTAAAAGAACTTTGCCTCCAGAGACAGGTCACATATGAGCAGAATATATCTTCACCAGTATATATACAGTACTATAGTCCACACCATTCTACACTTCTACAACACTATTAAATATTCCTTTGCATTACTCTACAAGATAATTTTACATTAACTGTTTTGCATAAAATATCCTACCAACAAGACAAACAGGCTAAACTTTAGGGTTAATGTCAACATTATTCAGTTTCAATGAGGTTTAGTGATTCAGATATGAAGATAAAGTATTCTACTCACCTGTGACTAGAATCAACAAAATAAAATTTAAAAGGAAGGAGCACACCAGCGATACTGATAGCCATATGTTTTGAGAGAAGCCTCGGAGAAAATTGAAAGTACAGTTCAGCATAAAATGAACCTTTTTAGATGTATGGATAGCTTGATTATTCACTATGCACTAAAATTCCTAACTATGTAATTCAGGTAATTCTAAAAACTACTAATTCAAATACAGAGAAAATAAGTAAAAATACAAATGAAAGATAAAACAGTCAAGCAAGAACATGACAGAAGCATGACAGAAGTGAAATGCAGAGCAATGACAAATGGTGTAAAAATGTTTCAAAACTATATGCAAAGATTACTAACCAATCTTCAAAACTGGTAACAGGAATTCCAACAAGGAAATTTTGTCTGTACACATTTTTGAATACTTAGACCTAAAGCTTGCTAAAGCATTTATGTCTTATTATTCATGAGAATTGTTACCAGAATATCTCAAATTGTGCATTCCTTTTTAAAAATATATAATCTAATACAAAAATTATTTTATGTTTAATATATTTTAATATACTTAAAATATATTAAAATGTTTTCTTACAATGTTTAACAGATGTTTTGTTATTACAGAACAATTCATACTATTGGAAACATACAAATTATTTTAAAAAATAATAATCTCTGTATACATTGACGTCAATAATTAAATTCCGAGTTGACTTAAAACATAACAAATTAGAATGGGACGCAGTAGGAAAGTTGTGGAACTTAAAGTTACAGAGAATAAATCATGAGATACACCAGTTTTTAGTATAGCAATTCAAAAATTCAAAATGTTGAAGTATAACAACATTAGTAATACTACTACTACTAATAATAATGGACAACATACCTTGATCACTACTAGTGGTGTTCTGTCCTGTTATAATATTTAAATAATAAAAGTGAATTAATCACAATTAAAAACTACTTACAGAATAACAACAAACAAAACTATTGTCACATCAAGATGCCTTTGTTCTTCATGTATTTGTAATATGAATATGAATTCAAATAAATTAAGTTTAATAATAAAATAAATGTCCTTATTTTGCACAATGTTTTTAAATGTCACAGCTATTCAAAGCTCTTCAGCTATAGGTAAATGTTGAATGAATGGATCATACCTGAATGGGAATTACTGATGTTCTCTTCTGTAATTAAAATAATATAAGTATAAACATGATTTCCAACGTGATCGATCATATACTTGCTTTTTTATTCTGATACTTGTCTATTACCAGTTTTATGGATCAAGATCAAATTCTAATTCTATAACACGTATTAGGTTTTCACATTAACGCTTGGTTGGTCTCATAATTTAAATATTAAACAGTATAGTACTAATATCTAAACACTATGTGCCATGACTGCATCAACAAAGTTGTTGCAATAAGCAAAGGCAGGCAATAAGCTCTGCTGCAATAATTAAAACACAGTTTAATTTAAACACTTTTGTTGGGGAAATAATGAAACATCAAGAGAAAATAATCTACACTCTGATATACACTGTATTCTGCAAACTTTGGAAAGTTTTAGCCAAAAGAAGCACAGCAACTTACTTGTGACATCCAGTCTTGTACCGTTGCTGAACACAAATATATCCTCCTCCTTTCTGGCACAGTAGTACATTCCAGAATCGTGACTTGTGACATTGTGAATCAGCAACCTGCTGTTCGTCTCTAGAGAGTAATGTTTTCCAAACCCGTTGTAATAAAAAGGGGTTGTGGATGTGGACTCAAAGGAGCGCAGGATGGCCAGAAGGAGCTCTGCCGAGTCCTGTCTATACCAGTAAACTTCTCCAGTGCTGAGGGGACATTCAAGAGACACATTCTGTCCAGGACTCACTGACCGTCCTGTCAGACAGTGAGCCTGCAGACTGAGGAGAAGCACACCTGCAACAGTGAAAAACACCCAGAACTGGTTTTCTGAAAATGAATTTTATAATTAACTGTGAAAATTGTTACATTTTTAAAATAAGTATATGGGTACATAATTCTGAAAATCTGAATTAGCAAAAAGTTTAACATGCATACTTACATAATTGCAGCTTAGTATTACTTTGAAATACCATTTGTTTTCTTTTGTGACAAAAATTATGTTTCGTTATAAAGCCAGCATTCTTGAGATTTGTTTGGTGTTTCAGCCACAGACAACTCCACCAGTCACAATCACGTATATCTAACAGCTCTCATTAAAGGAGGAAGTGAATTTTGCTTTTATGACTCCCCCTACTGTACAGCAATCACAAGAAGAAAAAGCATCTGATCTGAACATGACCATATCCTTAAACACTGAATGTTATGAAAAAATCAGCAACCAGTGTGCATTATTTGTTGATTATTGTTTTATATGTTCAACAAATATCAGACTCACAGTTCCTTACTACAAAGATTAAAAACACATTTTAATAGATTTATTGGGTGCAAGGGGTAGCTGTGTTGGAGACCTGGATGCTTAAATAAAACCTAAGAGTAAAGCAAGGGGATGAAATATAATGCCTATAATAATTCTGTAATGACCTATTGTATTAACAATTTGGAATTCATGGCCTCATCTCTGTAACAGTATTGAATTTATATTTGAACTATTGTAACAGTTCTCCATTGGTACATTAGATAAATTATGCTGCATCTGAATATATTTTGTAAATGAGTTCGTTTTGAGTCTGCGTACAAGGACAATTAGTAACAACAGATCCTAGAGCATATTGAAATTGATTTTATATGAACAAGAAATTAAAAGCACTGTACTAGAAAAAATACAGAAAATCTGCTAAAATATCTAAAAGTGTACTGTACTTAATACTTTTAAGCACACCACCCACTCGATCTCTAACTGCGTCAAATCCTTTTAGAAGTATAAAAATCACTAGAGATTTTCCACCTTCTATTTAAATCCCTTACTCCTTTCTCTCAATTTTAGTTAATTTATAGCAAATTCCAAAAGATCTGGGTTAAGCAGCTGGTATAATTAAGTCAATAATAAGCATTTTTCAGTAAATCATCTCTTTCTCTTAGCAGTTCATTTAAATATATTTCATACCTGCCACTGGATCCAGTTAGGCAATCCAAATAAAAAATATTGATTTTCAGCTAGGGTTGTCTACTGGTCCTGTGATTCCTGGTCACCCTGAGGCAGTTTTAAGTCAGAATTAACCCAAAATTGAAACCAATGAATAAGCAAACGAAAAAGAGAGCTGAGCTAAATTACTCTGGTTGCAATTGACCAACAGTGGCAGTTATCTGCCTTAAAGCTGGAAATGTTTACACTGCTAGGTGTCACACAATCTAAACTCTTAGAGACACTTCATAGGAACAAGTAATAGGTTTATTCCATGCTGAAAAAAAGAAGAAAGAGAACACAACGTTTCGGCCGTGGAGCCTTCTTCAGGTGTTCAGGCCAAATACCTGGCAGAACGTGACTGGATAGGCTGTGTGACCCTTTGCTCTGTCTGTGGTGCTGATGCAGACCGATGTTTTGGGTGAGAAAGACAGGTTGTCAGTGCTACAGACAAAAATGAGTTTTAGGAGAGGCATGTCTTCAGTGCTCTGTGGCAGAAAACTGTGTGCCACTGTTGGAGACAATCATTAAATTGTCAGCACAGATTTCAGAGCTGTTGCCCTGCTCTTCCAGTGTCTTGCAACTCACATGTCCTTATCTGTAGCCATAGTGTCCCACAGGCTCTAGTCTAGTGATAGAAAAGGCATCTCACAGTTTTTCTCCAGGTCCAATTTGCTGGTCAAACCTATTGGACCCAGAGAGTCAGGCCACTGACACCAGCACTTCAGCACTGCTTGGTCTGGGAAGGCTGATTCTGCTGCTGCTATCCTCTGTGTCTTCTGTTTGTTGCAGCTCTTCCTCCTTTGGCACTTTGTGGAAGCTGGGTGAAGATGCAGGATGATGTTAAGCAATGTGAATGATTTGGAAGTATTTGTAAACAGTAGAATTTCAATCAAAGTGAAAGTCCTTCAGCCATTACAGTGCATGAAGAGTATGGCAACATTAAGCTAAGCAACAAGCAGCCTTAACACCCACTTTGTTATTTCTTCATGGTTACTTGCAGCCATATCACTCTGCAACTCACAACTGGCAACCCACTGAAGGTCAGCAGGTGTGAGCCTGGTCAGTACCTGGATGGGAGACCTCCTGGGAAAAACTAAAGCTGCTGCTGGAAGAGGTGTTAGTGGGACCAGCAGAGGGCAGTATAGTCACGGGGACATTATACTGTAAAAAGGCGCCATCCTTCGGATGCGATGTAAAACTGACGTCCTACTCTCTGTGCTAATTAAAAATCCCAGGGTGTTTCTTGAAAAGAGTAGGGGTGTAACCCCGGCGTCCTGGCCAAATTTCCCATTGGCCCTTACCAATCATGACCTCCTAATAATCCCCATCTATGAATTGGCTTCATTACTCTGCTCTCCTCCCCACTGATAGCTGGTGTGTGGTGAGCGTTCTGGTGCACTATGGCTGCCGTCGCATCATCCAGGTGGATTCTGCACAGTGGTGGTGGTAGAGGGGAGTCCCCATTACCTGTAAAGCGCTTTCAGTGGAGTGTCCAGAGAAGCCCTATGTACTGTAAGTGTAAGGAATTTTATTATTATTATTGTTGTTGTTGTTAATTCCTTGAACATTCTGATGAATTTTTTAAAGACCTTTTTTGTATTTGTTGAACTCCTCCACTGAAGTTTGACAAATCTAAGATTATGACAAATTGTTATTAGTTTTGCAACATGTTTCTTCCACTTATACTCCTGTAAATTGTCATTCCTAGAATTTTTTCTTTTAAATGTTTTCTTCCATTAAATTAAAAGCGCTTTGAGGTGCAAGCTTTTAAGGGAGCTGTATCAAAAATGTGTTTATTGTAATTAAAAATAGTTTTTAAAAATTTTAATACAATCAGTATGTTTAATCATAACCCCCAGACAAAACATATTTTTGGCACCATCAAAAGTGGAGAAAATTTTGGGACACTCAGCCAGTAGCAAATCACTCTTCTTCATTCAGTATTGACTTTACTAATATTGTTGGTGTACGTGGATCACCTCTTGAAAAAATGCAGTTCAGAATTGGACGGGGAAAGATCTCATTCAAGAACAAACCAAAATTTGTGCCTCTCCAAAAGTGTCTGGAATCTATTGTACAGACCCACATCTAATAGAAAATCACCTTGGTTTTGTCAGATTAGTGTGTTTGCTGATGTTGCTGGGGTTTATACTGTAGAACACTTCCTGTTCCTCAACTGGGACTGTGCAATGCTGGACAGGGAAAAGTATCATTCCTGACCAAATAAATTTGTGCCTCTCCAAAATAGTTGCAATCTATTATATAGACCCCCTGCTAATAGAAAATCACCATAGTTTTGTCAAATACTGTAAGTGTCTTTACCAATGTCGCCGGGGTTATAGGACACTTCCTGTTCCCAGACTGGGTCAGTGCAGCATGGTGCAGGACTCCTGACCAAAGAAAAATGTGTTCCTCTTCAAAAGTAGCTGCAATCTATTATACAATCTATTTATTAACCAATAGGATATCATCTTGGTTTTCTGAGATTTCTGAGATGTCTTTGCAAAAGTATACTTTACTGGGGTTTACTATTGTGTTGTGGTTCTTTAGAATAGGTATGTGCTATTTTTTGAGAGGCACAAATTTGTTTGGTCAGCATGAGACTTTTCCCTGTCTAACACTACATCGCACTGTCAATTTGCAAAGAGGAAGTGATATAAAAACACCCAAAATATTAGCAAGAACGCAAAAGTGAATGAAGAACTGTAATTTTCTGTTAGCTGTCTCTTTATCACATTCCACCTACTGTCGTTTCCAGGATGCATAAATTGCTTTTCTAGAGATGTGATTTTACCTTGTTGAGGATTTTTTTTTCTGAGGCATGTTATAGGGGTCTATTATTTTAAATGGTACAGCCAATAGGAAGCCAGTTTGTGTGGCTAAATGTTGCTGGCTTCACACTGCTGATTCTCTCTCAGAAGTGGTTCCTTCAATGTCAGAGGGCTATCGCTGTGGAGCTGGTGGCTGTGGGGCAGTCTCAGTCTCAAGCAGTGGATCACCGTCTTTTGTGCAGTAGTACAGTCTACTGCAGATTGTTCTAGCCCTGACACTTGTTCATCCAGAAAGGCCAGAGACTGGCTTCTTCACTGTTGATTAATGGCACAGCAGTTCTTTCCTGTTTAGTGAGCAACTCGCTCAATCCACCTGGTCAGCTCAAGGTCACACACCTCTACTTAACAACATACACTGAAAAATCTATTATCCTCTAAAGTTACCCAACTCCCCTCTGATCTCAGTCCTTACATCTAAATTTAAACACGAATTTATTTCCTAGTTTTTTAGTACTTCCTAGTCACTTTGTGAATTTCTAGGTTTTGCTTTTTTCCATTGTAGTTGCTAGCATTTCCTTGGTGTTATCCATTTTGTTTACAAGCTCTTGCTAAAAGGTACTAAAAAGCTGCATAACTACAGTCATATTCTGCGAAAATGCCACTGTAAAATTAGAGGAAATGTTGAATAAATATACAGAGGTACATCGTACTGTATATTACACTTCTTGCACCCAACTGTTCAAACCAGAGAATCCCGTACTGACACCAATTGTCACAAATGGAGGGTTAAGAATATGGTGAAAATTGGGAATTGACTGAGTGGTTTCGTTAAGTAAAATATTCAAAACCCCCAAATTGTAAGTGAAAGTGATTTCTCCAGAATATACCCAAGTGGCTGGTATAGTTAGAGGCAAGTGAATTCTCTGGCACACCTTTGGTGAAAAGAGTAATAATCCAGGCACACTTGGTTAAACAAATATTTATCAATGACAAGACACACTACACAAAACATGCAAAACTCAAATTTCTAATATGAATGTCTTATTATTCAATATTTATATTATTTAAAAATGTACAAAGGAAAAACATGTTTCAGAAGGAACAACAGACCCTAGCAGATAAACACCTAACATGTCTTGCCTATTATGTCTCATGTCTCTATCCTACAACATGATTGAATCAATTTGTAAAGGGGCCTTATTTAATCAAAACTGCAACAAATCAAAATAAAAAATGTTAGATTTACTTTATAAACCAAGAAGCAAAAACACCTCTCAAACATGCAATGAAAGGCTATTCTGTCATATCATCTTAACAGCAAGACAGTG